ACCGACTGGTATCATTTTTCATACAACATGTTGATCTGAAAATTCAGACTAACGTCGTCTGAAACTTTCAGACCGCGAAGTATGAAAGTTTTGGTATGAAAATTCAGACTGAATGTAAGTAAATCGACTTCTAACAAAAAATTATGAATTTTCAGTAAATTTTTTTAACAGTGCATGGGTAAAAACAATTTTGTGCTTTTGAGCCGGTAATCGTCTCAGGACAAAACGCCAAAAATAGGGGTTCTAATTTTGCGGTCTAGAATCGATTTCTGAGCGGAATCGGACGATCCGAAAAACTTCGATTTGTTTTGGGCCACCCTAGCCTCCTTCGAGTCGAGGTGGGACGTCTGCGCAGCAGCGGCACTTTTATTCCTCGATCTACGGTCCGGGGATTCGTTACATACAGAAGGAAATAGACTTAACACCAGGATATCGCGCAACACAGGTTGACTCTTTCCCCCTATAATTTATCGGATACGGGCCTAAAACATTTTAGGACTTCTGCCTTTAAACAATTTGAGATCGTCTAACGGTACGATCAACAATTGCCAACACCGCATGCTCTTTTGATTTGAGATCACGACTATAAGCCCGCCGCCGATGTCTATCAGGTGACCCTGCCGAAGGCCGCCCAGCGCCGCTGGCCAAAAGCCAAGTGTAAAAACCAAATTTGTGAAAGGATCGTCGAAACTGGTGCAGGTTCGCAATGGCGAAGCCTATAACGACAAGCCACAGTTTGCCGTCTACCCAGTTGAAGACGTCCCCCCCCCCTTTTCCCCCCATAGTGGCGTAGCATTACGCTAGCCCAGACCGCCCCGATGTAGCGTTACACAAAATTATTCATGAAAACAATGCTTTAACACTGTGGCAAAAAGCTACGGAAAATTCTGCAAACAGCTTGTGGTAATCCTCCGTAGCCCCCTTGTCAATATTCTCCGTAGGCTCTTACAGTATTTTCCGTAGGACCACACAGTATTCTCCGTAGGACCTCACAGTGTTTTCCGTAGGACTATAGGGTCATGGCGGGGAAAAACTGGACAGGGGAAGAACTGGACACCCCACATTTTACTTCAAATGCCGTATGTACTGGCCTGACAACTGTCGTGTAATGAACCGCTGATGCCACGGAACAACTTATGATAGTTGCTATTCCTGTGCCTACGGTATTTGAAGTAAAATATGGGGTGTCCAGTTCTTCCCCTGTCCACTTCTTCCCCGCCCTGACCCTACAGTCTTTTAGGTCCTACGGAGAAGACTGTGCGGTCGTACGGAGAATACTGTACGGCCCTACGGAGAATATTGATGAGAGGGCTACGGAGAATCCTGGCAAAAAAATAACAGAATTTTCCGTACCTTTTTGCCACAGTGAACCCTCTCACATTCTGAGTGTTACGCGTGACTTAACGCCGTCCTCTCATGTCCATACCGCAGCGTAACGCACTCGATCCCCCTGCCTCGAAGAGCGCACCGTAATAAACGGACGTCCCCAAACAAACGCAACTGGCAAGACGAACTCAAATCCATGGCCACTTTTGTCCTGATTTACCTTTGCAAGTTAGCCCAACGTAGATCGGAAATCGGAAATGCTTCACGTTCCTCGCCGACTTTTCTTCACGATAATCCGGACGACCAGAAAGAAATCCTAACGTCGTAAGCACATTTGACGGTGGATCGTGACGTTTACAGTGACCGGAAGCAAGGGAGACCGGCTTATCTGGCGAACTGATTCCCTGATTGAAATGCCTGCACAAACACTCACACTAAATGATTGTGAACAATTTTGTACGTGTAACTTGCACGATTATCTGCATGTAAGTTGAATTTGCATATATGCGTACAAGTCCATAAATTTAAACACATTTGAGCATAATTATGTGGAAAACGTTGCAGAGGTTTCAAAATTCGCATCAGCAAGTACAAAATTGTACACAAATATTTAGCGTGCAGGCTTCCTCGGCGCCCCGTTGGCAGTGCAGCCTTACCGCCGCGCGGTGCACCGTCTCTCTCTACCGTCTCTCGGCCTCGCGTACCCACTGCAACTTACCTTCGGGAAGTCCGCCTTGGGCAAGCCGACGACGAGGGACCGCTGGGAACACTGCGGTTGCGTTCCACGGCCCGAAGTGCGCCACGAACTCTGCAACGGAAGTGGAGAGGAATTGAAGGAGGGCAACGGATCCTGCGAATGCACCGTAACATCGGGAAGAGAGGACGCGCGGAAGGGAAACGCTCGCGGTTACGCAATTCCAGGATCAACACTCTGATAACGTTTCAACCTTTTTCAGGCTACTCAAAGGATACATGAGTTTTAAAAAAGAAAACTCCGTGATTCACGAACTATTTCTCCGTTTAAGGAGCTGTGTAGTTTGTACCTGCTCAAAGTTCTTCGTAAGGTTCTAATGCGTGCTGCTTACTTCGCGTCGCTTCCGCTTCAGTACTTGCGAAATGCTCCACACAGTTGATCCATGAAGCGGACGAAGGGGATAACTCAATGTTCGTCATCTTTCAGGAGACACAAAAACCTGATTGCAGGGTAAACTTCATCCAATCAGATGAATGATGCAATTGCATTTTTGTCAAGAAAGCCTAAGAAATAACTGAAAATTTTCATAAGTCTAGTGTCACTCTGTAGACGATTTCTGTGATTTAAATCTTTACGTTGGAATAGACTACGGAACCATGTTGGGTCTAGGTCAACTCGTCCCGACCGACTCGTACCCGGCCTAATACCCCCGAGGAAATCCCGTCCCAACCCATGTTGATCCCCGCCCTATGTCGCCCCAATAATAATGTGTTTTTAAACAATATTTTTTATTGAATTTGGCTTTATTTTACGATGGGACCTATGAACAACTTAGTTCTCCCAAACAAGGCGGAATTTGGAGACAATTCAAGTGGAGCTGAGGTCTGCGTAGAGTCAGCATTTTTGTGTGGTACACTTTTGGAGTTACCTCTTTTTAGGCACGAAGTTGCCTTATAGCATCCCCAGGATTCAGCCGGCGGTAGATTCAATTCGTGTGGCCCTTTATGCTTTTTGGACATTTTCTATAGGATTTTAATGAGATTTTGCAGACTAGTACAACTTTGAACGCTGATTCTGATGTTGAAATGTGGTTAAAAAATTAACGGCCAATTTTGAGAAATTTGCTGTCAAAATCGCCGTTTCCATGGCAAAACTCGACTCGTCAAAGAAAAATGAACTCTGCAAACTGAACAGTGTGCTCAGTACACTCTAGTTGGAGTGTACTCATAAGCACACTCCTGTGAGAGTGTGCTCAGCGGAGTACACTCTAACGAGAGAGTGCTTAGCTGAGAACACTCTAACGAAAGTGTGCTTAGCTGAGTACACTCTAACGAGAGTGTGCTTAGGTCGGCACAATACATGCAGCTGAGTACACGTTCGTGGGAGTGTACTCACGAGTACACGTGTACTCATGAGTACACTCTAAAGAGAGTGTACTGAGTACACTGTTGTGTTTGCAGAGAAGGGAGTGGGGGGAGCCGAGCCGGGGCGGACTTATAGCCGAGCTTCTTTTTGGGTCTGTACAGCTTACTTCAAAAGCTGCAAAAACACGTTCGAAATGAAAAATTTCTTTAACTGCAGATAGAGAAGATGCAACAATAGAATTGATGTCGTTTGGACCGCAGTTTTTCGGGAAGAACTATCCAATAATACTTCTTGACCGGAGTGTTTTTCGACATGCGCAGTAGGTTTGCAACCTGTTAAACAGTTAAACCAACTGTAGCATTCAAAATCTGTATTCATTTTGCTGTCTTTCTTGTTTTTTTCTTTGATTGCTGCTTATCAAAACGCATATAAAACAAATTTGCAATTTATATCTGACAACCTTCTAAAAAAAATACATACAAAAAATGACAAAACAAAAGTTCCTTTTTTATTACATAAAGTTTCGCAAATATTACTTTTTTTTCTGTCAATTAAACAATTCTGTTTTTGTTGAATTCAGTTAACACCATGACCACTTCACTCCACCTCGCGACTTTCAGTGCTCATGTTCCTCGAACATGACTCACCCGCGTTTCGAAAACATCCCTCCCGAGTTAACAAAGTTTGTCAAACCAACCGTGACGGTGTTGTTACGTTGTGAGTTAGAACTATTTCACAGAATTGAAGAAAACATGACTAGAGAATCATAGCCTTTTGAAACAAGTCAAACAGTTCAACGTCAGCAACAATGGAGGGGCAGTTTCAATGCGTGACTACTGGTGTTTTCAGCTTCTTGATTTTCGCAAGGGCGCAGACGCCGAGAATATTGTTGCCAACCCGTGAAAATTTATTTACTGCCTTTTTTCTGCTACGAACATTTTAATATTGATGAACTTCAAAGATGTTCCATTGTCAGAACACTGCGGAATACATAAGCATTGGAATTTTTCGAATTTCCCGGCATTTTGATTTCTATTTATTGTCGAGTTTAAATTTTGACGGTTGGCACATCGACCACATTGGTACCACTGCCATTGGCAGTCACCCCTGAGCCACCCCCTATCCCTTTTAGAAAACTTCTTTTCTATTTCCACACTCTTACACTAAAACCAAATTGACTTCGTGACTCCTAGGATTTCTTGAAATCGCACAATCACAAGAGATAAACTTAGTTTGGAGATAAGTCGAATTATTTCCTTCTTCCGCTTCCTGCAGATCCATGGATCAGTTTACGAAGCTGTGGCTGCTCCAGTACGAGAACGCACCAACGTGACTCTGCGGGGCCTTGTTCCCTGTAACTTACTAAATCCCAAAGATATTGGAAGTTGGTTACAGTGAATGCATTGCAGTATAACTTTTTAGGAGATATATTCTGGTTACTCGAGGTTATCTCTGCCCTCCAAATTGACTGATAGTAAAAGACGAAGGAGTTTACTTGTGTAGCTTAGCCTGTTTAAAGAACAAAGATAGTCGCCCCTCTATGCGTTTTTTTTATAGCTGCTGCTTCCTCTCGATCCATTTGTGTAGTGCTTAATTTTGTAATAAAGATTTCTAAGAACATGAATATTTTTATTTATTTGACAGTTAAAGTTTTACAAGCGAAAGTTTTCTACATTTGGGGCTGTTCTCAGCACCTCACTAAGGAATTTACCCATTGGAGACTTAAATCAAATATCGCTGAACACAAGGTGTCCGTTGTAATAAGATATTTTCAGCGCTGTTCTGAACACATTTGGTTTGTCCATCAGTTGTTTCTTTTTTCTTTAAAAGAAAAACGGAAGCTCGTTAGATACCAGGAGCAAGTCAATTTATTTTGTAGCCTTTGCTCTGAACTGGTCCACATAGAAGTGTATTATTTCAAGTCTTCTGACAATGTTTTTCTTTTTCTAGAAAAAGACTTATCTGCTTAACACAATAAAATTCAAAAACAGTTATTAAAAAAACAACTAATGATTGGCAGTATTCAATGGAGCGCCTCGTTTTGCAATCAACCCTACTGATTCAACAACTGTTATTTTTGAGTTAAAAGGGAACATTTCTTACACTTGGGAGCCCTTGGATAGGCACGAATTCAGAAAGCGTCCTAAGACGGGATATGCACTAGTACTGAACAAAGCAAAAACCAAAACACCGCACTTGACCTAATACAGATAGTTCCTCCTTGGTTTGTCCGGGTGTGCTGTTTTTGGTTGCTGCTCGTGCTGCACGTTTTCTTGCTTACTGAGAACTCGAAAGGCTTCTACCTAGTGAGGGTTCTGAGATGCTTTCTGAGGTTTCCGGATGCACTGAAACTCTTCTTACAAACGGTGCACTCGAAAGGCTTCTTCCCGGTGTGGGTCCGTAGGTGCGTTCTCAGATCTCCACTTGTCCTGAAACTCTTCTTGCAAACTGTGCACTCGAAAGGTTTCTCCCCGGTGTGGGTGCGTAGGTGCGTTCTAAGATCTCCACTTGTCCTGAAACTCTTCTTGCAAACGGTGCACTCGAAAGGCTTCTCCCCAGTGTGGATGCGAAGGTGCTCTCTCAAACTCGAACTTGCAGTGAATTTGTTCTTGCAAACTGCGCACTCGAAAGGTTTCTCCCCGGTGTGGGTCCGTAGGTGCGTTCTAAGATCTCCACTTTTCCTGAAACTCTTCTTGCAAACGGTGCACTCGAAAGGCTTCTCCCCAGTGTGGATGCGAAGGTGCTCTCTCAAACTCGAACTTGCAGTGAATTTGTTCTTGCAAACTGCGCACTCGAAAGGTTTCTCCCCGGTGTGGGTCCGTAGGTGCGTTCTAAGATCTCCACTTTTCCTGAAACTCTTCTTGCAAACTGCGCACTCGAAAGGCTTCTCCCCGGTGTGGGTCCGAAGGTGCAATTTTAGACTCCCACTTTGAGAGAACTTCTTCTGGCAAACTACGCACTCAAACGGCTTCACCTTGGTGTGGGTGCGAAGGTGCCTTGTTAGGTGACTCTTTTGAGCAAACTTCTCCTCGCAGAACGTGCACTCGAAAGGCTTCTCCCCGGTGTGGATCCGCAAGTGCGCCTGGAGGCCACTCTTGAATCGGAACTCCTTCTCGCAGACTGCACAGTGGAGCGCCTGCTGCCCTCCACGCTTTCCCCGTGGAGCACGCGGCGCCGCTGACGCTGCCGCCACCTCGCCGCACAGTGCACTCTCAAGGGCCATGATGTGCCTGGCAGGGAGGGCCTGCTGGAACACTCAGATCAATTAGTCTAACTTCAGGTTTGCCCACTGCAACTAGAGGACATTGACCATACCTTAGGTGCAGGCGAAGACCTCAAAATGCTGAGAGTAACGGTGCACACCGACTCGGGTCCTATTCTGCAACAAAATGAAATAAATTTGGTTAAGGAGTAGACGCTGGTGAAATTCTTGGCTGCACAGATTCCTTAAACGGTGGACGATTGGTCCAGTTAGCAATAACAAGAACACTAAAAGTTGGGTATAGAAACGAATCCCTGGACCGGAAGTCAAAGAATAGGAGTTAGAAATAAAACCGCTTCTGCGCATGCACAAACGCCTACTTTAGGGTGGCCAAAAAAAAAAGCGAATTTTTTCCGATCGCCCAATTCCGGTCAGAAATCGATTCTAGACTTAAAAATAATAACCCTTTTTTGCTTTTTGTTCTGAGACGATTTTAAATACCGTCTCAAAAGCAAAAATGTTTTATTACCCATTTAAAACCCTCTTTTCTCGTCCGCGATCCCTGCGACCAGCAGATGATTAGCTTTCACCCTCCTTGGTCTTATTGCAAGGTCTGAAGTTAGGAAGAGCCAGGTACTAGACACAACCGAACAGTTCCAGGCAGGATTTGACGGGGAAAATCCTTCACGCTTAATTACTATGTAGGTTTTTCTGCGCGCTAATGCACGAGATTAAACATGCACTTCGTAACGCACGAATTTCTGCGCGACAATGCACGATTTCCTCCGCAAGTATGGAGAAAATCGTGCATTGTCGCGCACCATTTCGTGCGTTACGAAGTGCATGTTCAATTTCGTGCATTAGTGTGCAGAAAAACCTACACAGTAATTTAGTGTGTTATATACCTTCTGGCAGAAAAAAACGAACGACCCGTCAAATCCTGCCTGGACCTGTTCGGTTGTATCTAGGACCTGGCTCTTCTTAACCTCAGACCTTGCAAAAAGGCCAGAGAAGGTGAAAGAGTAATCATCTGCTGGTCACAGGGATCGCTGACGAGAAAAAAGGGTCGAAACGTGACCAAAAAATCGAAATTGCGCGATTACTGCATGTTACAAGCAGAAACGGACCTTAAAACGCAGCCTGGCCAAAAATGATGCAAATCTTTTGGTAGTGTGCCTTAAAAGACGGACCAAAATGACGGCTAGGGTTTGAAGATCAGAGAAAAATTGCGGGCTCAGAGCTCGACAGGCTTTTCATTATATTAAAAACAACGAAATGCTTGCCGCTAGATTGTAGGCAAATTGATTTGCACAGCTCCAGTTCACGTGGTCGGGTTGTATAGGGACAGGGTAAGATAAAAAAGTTGACTAGGGCCGATCTCAGCCGTCCGAAACAAGAAAAATATCTCAAAATAGTAAACAACAAAAGTTTTTTTGAGCGAAAATCGCTAGCAGATTACTGAAGACGAAGTCTGACGAAAAGTTAGTGAAAACGTAATTTGTTCGCTGTTAAAAGCAGAAGATTTTGCCGTCTCGCTTTTGAAAATCCAATGAAAATTGTAGTTTTCATGACAAATTTGGTGTTTTAAATAGGTACAAACAATTTTGTGCTCTTGAGCCGGTAATCGTCTATGGACAAAACGCCAAAAATAGGGGTTCTAATCTTGCGGTCTAGAATCGATTTCTGAGCGGAATCGGACGATCCGAAAAACTTCGATTTTTTTTGGGCCACCCTAGCCTACTTCGAGTCGAGGTGGGACGTCTGCGCAGCAGCGGCACTTTTATTCCTCGATCTACGGTCCGGGGATTCGTTACATACAAAAAGAAATAGACTTAACACCAGGATATCGCGCAACACAGGTTGACTCTTTCCCCCTATTATTTATCGGATGCGGGCCTAGAACATTTTAGGACTTCTGCCTTTAAACAATTTGAGATCGTCTAACGGTGCGATCAACAATTGCCAACACCGCATGCTCTTTTGATTTGAGATCACGACTATAAGCGCGCCGCCGATGTCTATCAGGGGACCCTGCCGAAGGCCGCCCAGCGCCGCTGGCCAAAAGCCAAGTGTAAAAACCAAATTTTTGAAAGGATCGTCGAAACTGGTGCAGGTTCGCAATGGCGAAGCCTATAACGACAAGCCACGGTTTGCCGTCTACCCAGTTGAAGACGTCCTCCCCTTTTCCACCTATAGTGGCGCAGCATTACGCTGGACCAGACCGCCCCGATGTAGCGTTACACAAAATTATTCATGAAAACACAGCTTTAACCCTCTCACATTCAAAGTGTTACGCGTGACTTAACGCCGTCCTATCATGTCCATACCGCAGCGTAACGCACTCGATGCCCCTGCCTCGAAGAGCGCACCGTAATAAAGGGACGTCCCCAAACAAACGCAACTGGCAAGACGAACTCAAATCCAGGGCCACTTGTCCTGTTTTACCTTTGCAAGTTAGCCCAACGTAGATCGGAAATACTCACGTTCCTCGCCGACTTTCCTTCACGCTAATCCGGACGACCAGAAAGAAATCCTAACGTCGTAAGCAGATTTGACGGTGGATCGTGACGTTTACAGTGACCGGAAACAAGGGAGACCGGCTTATCTGGCGAACTGATTCCCTAGTTGAAATGCCTGCCCAAACACTCACACTTAATGATTGTGAACAATTTTGTACGTGTAACTTGCACGATTATGTGCATGTAAGTTGAATTTGCAAAATATTATGCGTACAAGTCCATAAATTTAAACACATTTGAGCATAATTATGTGGAAAACGTTGCAGAGGTTTCAAAATTCGCATCAGCAAGTACAAAATTGTACACAAACATTTAGCGTGCAGGCTTCCTCGGCGCCCCGTTGGCAGTGCAGCCTTACCGCCGCGCGGTGCACCGTCTCTCTAGAGACCCTCCCGTCAGAGATGCGCAAGCCAGCGCTTGGTAGTCCCGTGTAGTCAAAGGCACCCTGAGTCAGGCTAGCGGGCGACCGCCGTATACCTGCTGTGCCGCACCAGATGCTGACCTGCGTAGCCTCGCGCGGGGCGAATTCGGGCTTCCCGCTCCGCATGGGACTACCAATCGTCTGTGATTGGCTGAGAGGGCCCCCCCTTGCGCATCTCTGACGGGTGCACCGTCTCTCTCTACCGTCTCTCGGCCTCGCGTACCCACTGCAACTTACCTTCGGGAAGTCCGCCTTGGGCAAGCCGACGACGAGGGACCGCTGGGAAAACTGCGGTTGCGTTCCACGGCCCGAAGTGCGCCACGAACTCTGCAACGGAAGTGGAGAGGAATTGAAGGAGGGCAACGGATCCTGCGAATGCACCGTAACATCGGGAAGAGAGGACGCGCGGAAGGGAAATGCTCGCGGTTACGCAATTCCAGGATCAACACTCTGATAACGTTTCAACCTTTTTCAGGCTACTCAAAGGATACATGAGTTTTAAAAAAGAAAACTCCGTGACCCCGTAAACAAAACTAGTACATGTCTGGAATCCGACGTCTTTCGGACGTCCTGAAGAAGTCGGTTTTGGGAGCTCTTCGGGACCTCCCTAAACGTACTACAAATGAAGCTCTCTCGTACGTCGCGCGGGGACCTAGTGTGTGGTGCCAGAGTTTGCCGCCAGAGCGCGCCCTGGTCGCTCGTCCCAAAGTAGTCGGTTCTTGGAGCACTTCGGGACGTCCGAAACGGTAGGTCTATGTGAGGTCTTTGGGAGGTCCCCCACCACACCCGTCGCAGCGTCCTGCGGCCATGTAGTTCCGAGTGTGTCCGCTAGAGCGCGCCTCGGGCCCACGCGATGCTCACCTGTTGTGCAGATGACAGTCGGCGCACTTTGGCGCGCACTGTGCTTGTGGCGTCGGATCCTTACTCCTATTTATTTTTCTGTTAACTATAGTAAATTCATTTCTCCAAAGAAAAGAAACCACGCACGAAGATGTTCAGTTCTCAGGTGCACCAATAAGAAGAATACTTCAAAGCCTGGTGCAGGCTTATTTCGTGTTTCAATCCAAATCAGAAAGTGCCGGTGTAAGTTAACCTACAATATTCTGTTACTTTGATACTCTTATTGTCAAAGTGTTTATTTTGTTCGTCTTCTGATTTTATGCTTGAGAAATAGGCTCTTTGCGGAAACCTTGACCCACTGGAGTTGCCCATGATTCTGGAAAGATAACCTGCACCACTATGCAATTACATGTGGAACAAGAACTGAATCCTGTGCTTCAGTGTCAAATTAAGTGAATTTCCTGCGACAGTAAGCATGACACCTTGGAATCAGTGCTAATTGAATTTCTTTCAGTCATTTTGGCTTATTTTTAATCAAGGGGTGTTACAGTTATGGTTGCTGTATTTTCTTTTCAGTCCAACTGAGATTCCTCTTTTAAATATTTTGTTTTTGAGTCCTGTTCACCATTTTTGTCTCTATATTTTCTGTTGTTCGTGACAAGTCTTATCGTTTGATTTTTAATTTAAAAAGGTCAGTGAATAAATACATTTTTCCTAACAGTTTATCTGTGTCATATTCACATTCCTATACGCATTCACATTCATATCCGGAACAGTGGCGCACCCTAGCGGCAGGCCATCGAACTACATTGCGCGCTCTAGCGGTCACCTTCGGAACTACGCAGGGCGCTGCGACGGGTGGTGGGGGACCTCCGAAAGACCTCTCACAGACCTACCGTTTCCGACGTCCCGAAGTGCTCCCGAAAGAGACGTCCTGAAATGTAGCACGGCAGTACTTCTTTCGGATGCCTTTTTTGTTTCATAAGGTACTCCTTCCGTACTACATTTTGGGATGTACAGAGCTCCGAAATGGTAGTACGACAGTACTACTTTTGATAGTAGTTTTGTTTACGGGGGATTCACGAACTATTTCTCCGTTTAAGAAGCTGTGTAGTTTGTACCTGCTCGAAGTTCTTCGTAAGGTTCTAATGCGTGCTGTTTACTTCGCGTCGCTTCCGCTTCAGTACTTGCGAAATGCTCCACACAGTTGATCCATGAAGCGGACGAAGGGGATAACTCAATGTTCATCATCTTTCAGGAGACACAAAAAACTGATTGCAGGGTAAACTTCATCCAATCAGATGAATGATGCAATTGCATTTTTGTCAAGAAAGCCTAAGAAATAACTGTGAAAATTTTCATAAGTCTAGTGTCACTCTGTAGACGATTTCTGTGATTTAAATCTTTACGTTGGATTAGACTACGGAACCATGTTGGGTCTAGGTCAACTCGTCCCGACCGACTCGTACCCGGCCTAATACGTCCCTGAGGAAATCCCGTCCCAACCCATGTTGATCCCCGCCCTATGTCGCCCCAATAATAATGTGTTTTTAAACAATATTTTTTATTGAATTTGGCTTTATTTTACGATGGGACCTATGAACAACTTAGTTCTCCCAAACAAGGCGGAATTTGGAGACAATTCAAGTGGAGCTGAGGTCTGCGTAGAGTCAGCATTTTTGTGTGGTACATGTTTGGAGTTACCTCTTTTTAGGCACGAAGTTGCCTTATAGCATCCCCCGGATTCAGCCGGCGGGAGATTCAATTCGTGTGGCGCTTTATGCTTTTTGGACATTTTCTATACGATTTTAATGAGATTTTGCAGACTAGTACAACTTTGAACGCTGATTCTGATGTTGAAATGTGGTTAAGAAATTAACGGCCAATTTTGAGAAATTTGCTGTCAAAACGAGGGGGGAACAGCTTCCCACATTCGTTGTACAAAATTTGACCACATTCCACATTCAGGTGGCAAAAACGCCTGTAAGTAGGCAACATGTGTGGCAAAAACGGTAGAAATCTAGCACATTCTTGCACATTTACACAATCATTGTACGCAAAATTTTACAGTGGGTCACCCCTCGTGTCAAAATCGCCGTTTCCATGGCAAAACTCGACTTGTCAAAGAAAAAGGAACTCTGCAAACTGAACAATGTGCTCAGTACACTCTATTTGGAGTGTACTCATAAGCACACTCCTGTGAGAGTGCTCAGCGGAGTACACTCTAACGAGAGAGTGCTTAGCTGAGTACACCGTAACGAAAGTGTGCTTAGCTGAGTACACTCTAACGATAGTGTGCTTAGGTCGGCACAATACATGCAGCTGAGTACACGTTCGTGGGAGTGTACTCGTGAGTACACGCTGAAGAGAGTGTACTCACGAGTACACGCTAAAGAGAGTGTACTGAGTACACTGTTGTGTTTGCAGAGAAGGGAGTGGGGGGAGCCGAGCCGGGGCGGACTTATAGCCGAGCTTCTTTTTGGGTCTGTACAGCTTACTTCAAAAGCTGCAAAAACACGTTCGAAATGAAAAATTTCTTTAACTGCAGATAGAGAAGATGCAACAATAGAATTGATGTCGTTTGGACCGCAGTTTTTCGGGAAGAACTATCCAATAATACTTCTTGACCGGAGTGTTTTTCGACATGCGCAGTAGGTTTGCAACCTGTTAAACAGTTAAACCAACTGTAGCATTCAAAATCTGTATTCATTTTGCTGTCTTTCTTGTTTTTTTCTTTGATTGCTGCTTATCAAAACTCATATAAAACAAATTTTCAATTTATAT